GCCGTATAATCGAAACCTTAATAACTTTAATAACTTTAATAACTCTAGTAACTTAGCTAAAAGGACTTACTTATGCTACTATTTATGCTACCATTCATACTACTACTTACGTTACCTATCTTACTACCTTAAATAAGCTCACGCGTAAAATCACCGTATATATGTCTATTAAAACCTAAATCCTAAATGTATTAAGCCGTAGAATTGAAACCTTAGTAACTTTAGTAACTCTAGTAACTCTAGTAACTCTAGTAACTCTAGTAACTCTAATAACTCTAGTAACTTTAATAACTTTAGTAACTCTAGTAACTTTAATAACTTAGTTAAAAGGACTTACTTATGCTACTACTTATACTATCTATCCTATCACTTCGAGCAAGCTTACGCGTAGAATCATCGTATGTAATAATATATTTATTAAAACCTGAATCTTAAACGCGTTAAGCCGTATAATCGAAACCTTAATAACTTTAATAACTCTAATAACTCTAATAACTCTAGTAACTTAGCTAAAAAGACTTACTTATGCTACTACTTATGCTACTACTTATGCTACCACTTATGCCATCTATCTTACTACTTCGGGCAAGCTTACGCGTAGAATCACCGTATATATATTTATCAAAACCTGAATCTTAAGTGCGCTAGGCCGTAAAATTAAAACCTTAATAACTTTAATAACTCTAGTAACTTTAATAACTTTAATAACTCCGATAACCTTAATAACTTAATTAAAAGGACTTACTTATGCTACCACTTGTGCTACCACTTATGCTACTACTTATGCTACTTATCTTACTACTTCGAGCAAGCTTACGCGTAAAACTTATATATCTTCGTAATAATAATAAAAGCAAACTGAGTCGAAGCGCAAGATTGCGCAACATTATAAAAGAAGATCCAAGCGGGTATTTACGAAAGGTACGCTGCGAAAAGTAAAAGTAACCGAGCTTAAATAAAGAATATCGTAATAAGCGCTACGATTTCCGAAGAGAAGCTCGTAATAAAAAAGCTGCAATTAAAGCACGTCGAAATCGACTTCGAAGTCTTTTTGCTAGCTGATTATCATTAAAAAGAAAAGTATATTTCGATTTGAAAAAAGATAGCCTAGCATTATTCTTATCTTTACAACCTTTGCAAGTAGCGAATACTTTGCTTTAATCGTCGTTTTAAAATAATAAGAAAAGCTAAAAAACATCTTTTAGCAAGCATTTGCGATTAATATAAAGTTTCGTCTTTATATTATAATAAAAGTGGTTATTAAGAAAGTCAAGTTGTTAATTAATTAAAGCGTTACGCGTAAAAGTATTAAGATAACGCGACGATATATGCGGCAGAATTGATAGCGGTAATTAAATTAAGCTTAATTGTATTTTATATTTAATTCGAGCCGACCCGTTCCGAAAAAAGTTTAATAAATTAACATAAAATAAAAGTCTTAGCACGCTCACAAATCTTGCTAGATTCGTATAAAATAGTCTCACGTAATTAGATGACTAACTATTACCACAACCTTAAGACCTTTAAATTACTCACCACTACTACAACTTTTAAATTACTTATCACTACTACAACTACTAGATTACTCATCATTATTATAACTATTAGATTACTTATCACCACCATAACTACTAGAATTTATCTTAAGTCACCGTTAGTGATAATAAGAGGGCACACATCTCTTAGCTAAAACAATCAACGAGCTTTCTACTTATCTTTTTTAGCACTTTCCTTATAAGACCATGAGGTCTAGCCTCAGAGCTAGGCTTTTATACGGCACATCTTTTTAGGTGCTTCTACATTACGGCAAGCCTTTTACCTTATCCTTTTTGCTCGATTAATAATCCGAACTCGTCTTTATTTAAAGATAGCTTGCATCTATTGAAAATCATCGGTTCGGCGTATATAAAAGTCTTTATTTCTTTGCTCTTTAACTTAGATTTAACCAACTCCTTTTCTTCTTTTACTTTTATAGCTAAATTAACAATTATAAGAACATTATCCGTTTATAAAGCAGCTATTCTTAATTGATCTTTATTAATTAATATAAAAAAGCAAGAATCAAAGCTCGATTGCTTTATCTCGAAGTTATTTATAAAATGCTTTAAAAAACGCTTATACTAATGCGTTCTTGCTTCGAAGATGCTATATAAAAGACTAGTTATAAAAAACAAAGTGCCAAAGAAAAATCGATAAGTGATCTCTTTAAGTAATCGTACGACGATTATCCGTATAAGCTTCGTGCTTAATTGAATATAAGCTTGCGTAATATCTTTATTACAAACTTAGCATCTGTAGTCTTTTATTAAAGAAAGAGCTAAAGTATAATTAAGTCTTTAACCCGCTCGTTGCATCGTAAGTAATTTAATAAATACTTTCGTCTTGCTTTTATCTTAGAAAGCTTAAACTATTATACGAGACTTTTCGTATAGCGTAAGTGTTCTTTTGCTTTTAATCTTATTAATAAACTTAAATTCGAAGATCTTAACGCTTTTAATACGTAAATCGGTGCTCGAGATCACTTAAAAGATGCTTTAAGCTATTAATCTTATTAATTTTTTTACTTTAGACTCTTAAAACGGTGCCTCGAAGCTCTTAATAATTCTTTCGGCTCGTAGCTTAGCTGAAAGCTTATAGTCTCGGCGTTTTTTATCGGTAACAAACACTTCGGAGTCTTTAATAAATAAAGCGTAAAAATCGTTTTCTTTTTCGTCGAGCACGGTCGAGATATTAAGATCGTACTTCTAATAAGGTATTTAAACCGTTAATATTATTGATCTTTAAGAATTGACAAGTTAAAAGTTAAGAAGGCTGTTTGCTGATCTTAGCGAGCTTTTTAAATTAAGCGAATGTTAAGGTTTAAGCGAATTTCGCGGTTCTAGCTTTTTTTCGCTTTCACTTTAATTTTCTTTTACTTTTACTTTAAGTACTTGCAATTCTTTTAGCAGCTTTTCAACTTCAAAGTAATAAGGTTTTATTAAAGTTGACTTGAATTCCGTAAGTTTCGGACATGCTATTATACACGTGTGCTTTTGCTTGTTAAGCAGCTAAAAAAGGCTTTTTCACTTTTAGTTTTCTTATTATACGAGTACTCGTAAACTAATAAAGAGGTTTAAAGTATGCTTCGTAATTAGTTTATTCCTTTTTTTAAGCGCGTCTTTAACTTGCTTCGCGGCGTAGCATTTTCGTACTTCTTTCATAACCTTATTAATAGCAGCAGCACGCTTTTAAATAAACGCGGCAAGTCGATCTTGTTCCGTCAGCTTTAATAAGGTCTTAAAAACGAAGAGTATAAGAACTAAGCTATTAAGTCTCGCCGTATCGTTGATGGCTTTAATAGCTATTTAAAGCCGGTCTTTCTTTAAAGCTTTTAAAAGCTCTTTTATAACGATTTTAAAAGCGCGTCACACAAAGACTTAGGGTTAGGGTTAGGGTTAGGGAGTAGCTGGAAGGCAGATTGAAATCAAGAAGAGTAGGAGTCCGACAGTCAGTTGTAAAGAATCAAACTGTTTCGCCTGGCTCTTCAAGGACTCGTACGGCGGCTAGGTATTATATACTTAAGCTTCGGCGTAAGCTCGGTATAGGTCGAGTAAGTCATACAATCAATACCCTTGCTCACCCGTAAACCCTAGTCCTCGATCTGAGGGATTTATGCAAGTGTATTAATATCGAAGGATTCGAGTTATATTAATCGCGCAAACTTAGATTAAACGCGCGGCTTTTTAAGGTTTCGTATATTTAATACGACGATAAGCGTGCATATATGCGCGCATGCGCGCATATATGCGTGCATAAAGTCTATTAAATACCTCGCTAAGGTAAGCTGTGCACTTAGTTAGCAAAGTGCAAAACTTTAACTTTGACGTTCCGAGTAAACTTTGCGGCGTAGCCGGATACGATAAGCGAAAGTATATACGCGATGCTATTAAGTCTACGGTTTATATATATGACCCGATATCCCTTTCTATTGTATATTATAGCAGTATGCAAAGGGCGAGATTCTTGATTGTCGCTTCTTATTCTTTTCATCGAAGGTATTGCGCCGTTTTTATCGTGAGCTCCACTTCTTTTCTTAGGTCAGTTTTCCCTTTGTATTGAGTGACTTTACGGTTCTGCTTGGTAGTGTTAACGGGACCTTTTAAAATAGGTTCTTTCCGAGGGTCTCCGAAGAAGTCCCGCAAATACCTCGAAAGGTATTCGCTTTTTCGTAAGTCCCTTTCTCTTAAGGTAGTCTCCGTAAGCAATGACCACGTGAAGTTTCTAAGGCTGACTAATGTAGTAAGGTAAGCTCAAACCAAGGTCCGGGTTAAGGTTCTGGTTAAGGTCAGTGTCGGTATATCCATATCGACCTTAGCTAGTAGTAGTAGTAGTAGTAGTAGTTGGGGAAGCTCACCCGTGAACCATGGTTCACGGGCCACTTGGCATGCCTCGCTTAGCATGTCAGCAGTCAAGGGACCCCCAACTTGACAAGTAAATCTATTAGCTAGCTAGTGCACGTGATTCCTTTTAATCGTATAAAAGGAATCAGCTCCCCTGAGCCTTGGGGAGCAGACAGAATTCAGATACCTTATCAACCGAGTGTTTTGCAATTGCAAGTACTTTGACGACCGTTACGACCTTACGAATATATATTCTTAATCGCTTAGAAGCAATCCAACACTGATCAGTGGTTGATTTACTACTAAGTGATCAATCACAGAGAAGCTAGGACTCTATAGCGAGGATACCTTTTACTACGATACTTCCTTCTTTTTACAACGGAAGAGCGATTTCGTACTAAGTCGCTTTCTTACACCTCGATACTTTTCTTTTACAACGGAAGAGCGATTCCGTACCAAGTCGCTTGCTTATACCACCGATTTTTCTTTATTCTTACGGAAGAGTGATTCCGAACTAAGTCACTTTTAAAAACAACAACTTTCAACGCTGTAAAAGCCGCGCTTGCTATATATAGCAAACCTAACCAACAAGATCGATCTACGTACGAGCAGACAGCAACTATGGCCGATCGAGCAACTGGACCTCCGGGTAGGGAGTCCAGCCGACAAAGAGCAATAAGGTATTATACCTTTCGAGTCTTATCACTACCCACGGAACCCCTAGCTATTCAGCCAAAACAAACCTTATACCCAAGACTCTTAAGCCTCTCGAAAGGGCTAAATAACGAGATGTCGGGCATCTTATTTGACTTAAACGAGCTGCTATACGCAAGGCCAAACAGTAAGATCACGGCCCGAGCGATAATAAAGGACTTCTTGGATGCGAAGTGTAGAAAGCTGAAGGATTACGACTTGTAGAGCTTATTCCGGCACGCGTTCTCACGCTAAGATTAGACCAGTTTTACGATGACGGAGGATAATACGGGACGAAGCTTTAAGTATACTACCTTTATTAGCCTTAAGGAACACTTGCTGTCCAAAGGCGTGTGGTGCCCCTTAAAGCAAAGGGGCTACGCTAATAGGATGGTCAAGCTCTTGAACGACGAGCGGCAGCATTAATAGACTTTCGAAGAGATAAAAGAGCAACAGGCAACACTTTTAAGTCTCGATTCAAAGTGGACCGCCGAAAACCTCACGGACGACGAAGATACTACACCTTAACCACTTCTACCTTCGCGCAGTCTAAAAAGGAAGGAAAAGGAGGCCTTAAGCAGGAGGGAAGAAAGGGAAGAGATTCGGAGGTTACGCGAAGAGTTTTTAAAGGAAAGGAGCGATATAGAACGAAATATGGAGGCTATGGCAAAGCAAATGGCGGAATTACGGACCTACGCTATACAATCTAACGAAAGGCTACGACGAAGTACTTTAGCGTACTCATCTTTAATTCATCAACCTTATCAATCGCTACGCAATACGCTAATTATACAAGAAGAGCCAAAATCATCTCAACGACTTTTAAACCTTTTTCTTAAGGGCTACAGCCGAATTTTCGAAAAACCAAGATCGAGTAGTAACAAAAACGGTCTTAAGATTATCATCGGACTAGACAACAATCGAGGCTACGGGAGCTACACGCTAAAAGAGGACCCGCCAAAACCTAAAAGCATTCCGGACAAAATCAGCTCTTACCAAGGACAGCGTGCAGATTTCCGTGCTTAGCCTTAGCAACCCGAGGAGGGGATCTAGCACCTTCGGACGTACCGGCAAGCTACTTATATCTCTTAAGAGGCCACGTATCAACAAAAGAAAGACCAAAAGTATAGGAATCGCTAAAAGCAAGCTTAAGGATACGGATATCATTAAGCTAAAGCACTAGCCGGTAACCCGAATGACTTTAGCGATCTTGGCGATAACCGACGAAAAGGAAACGGAAGAGATTAGCAAGGAGATCGAGGACACGGATACGGAAAGGGTAAGAACGGTCCTTTTAGACTACCAAAGAGATTCGGAAACGGACTTTTAAAAGACCTCGGATCCGGAAATGAGCCTCTTAAGGACCTTGAAAGAAGACGGACCATCGGCAACTATATCGGTAACCCCGTACCGATCCGACCATTAGCCAAGCACAGCACGCTTGCGTACGGCACTCTAAGCGCTTTTAACGATGATAGAGACGATTTCCTTGAGCTAAGAGCAACGGACCCTCACCTAAAGGCAAAGGAGTTGGCCTTGTTTGCAAGAAGCTTTCCTAAGGAACTGAAGTATTCGGGACCCGACGATGACTTCAAGACTCAATTGAGTATTTTCGCTGACTAAGCAAGTCGGTACGGCTTGACATCCGACGACTATTTAGCAGCGTTCCTAATTATGCTTACGAAAGAGGCTATAACCTTTTATTATAATCATATGATCAAGGCCAAGCTTTCGACGTTCAAAGCAAACGCTATTGCTATAAAGGACCACTTCGAAACTGACCACCGGCGGCAAGCAAAATACGACCGCTAAAAGGAAATTTCGCTGGATTTAGTCAAGAAAGAGAATCCAGGGACCTCGCTTAGCGAGTGCTTTGAGAAGCTCGCTAAAGAGCTCAAGGGCATTCAAGGCTCTCTACGACCAGGTTTGAAGGATGATCGAAGTCTTGCTGATAAGCTGTATTTAGCTTGTAAAAACGTGCTAAAGATTACGATTGCACGAATGAATCTTGCTTTTACCTCTACCGCGGCAGTTGCTAATATTCGTCGAGCAATTGCGTTTGCTATTAAGACCTCTCGACCTTTCGCCAAGGCTAGAGCTTACGCGAGCTTTAGCGAGCCACACGATCACACCTGCTCTTAGCACGCCTTAAAGGCTGACTCCGATTTGGACGAAGAATACGAATGCTTTATTCAAGACCGCTAATACTTCGGAGGTAAGAAAGCTGCCAAAGCTATTAAAGGTGAGAAAAAGTGTTTTGTTTGCAAAAAGCTAGGTTGCTGGAGCATTAACCACACCCCCGACGAAAGGAAAGCATCCGTCGCCAAGTTCTAAAGCTCCAAAGACGCAAAAAAGGTGACGAAGAACAAATTCTCTTAATACGTGGCGTCGATCGAAGGTTTGCCGCTTGTATCTACGGAAGAATTCGATCAGTTTATCGCAAGCTTACTAGACGAGCCGCCCGAATCGGGCAGCTACGCCAACATATTAAAAGGTTTTATGACTACTTACGGCACTTTTAACGCTAACGAAGTATACAAACAACTAGAAATTCAAACGGCATTCTACGCCCTTACTAGCAAAATCGAGACCCAAAACGTGTCCGCGAGTAAGGCAGAGACTTACATAGCCTTTAAGTACTTTGAAAACGTGTTCATAAGCCTTATGATTGACAGCGGAGCAGCCAATTTCTCTACCGCTAGCTTGCCCTAGCTACGAGCACTCTAAAAGAAGTACCTCGAAGTCTAATTGGATACATCCCGAGCAAAGAAGAAGTCCGTCAAATACGGCATCGGCTCTGCCACCTCTATTAAAGCAGTTACTCTAGATACCCCTCTAAGTCAAGTAAAGTTCTACGTTATAGAAAGCGACGTACCCTTTTTACTCTTATTAGCTGACATAGACAAGCACAAGGTGATCTTAGATAACTTGCGGAACGTGCTAGTCTAAAAGAAGAAGGAAATACTAGTAGTAAAGATGTTTAAGCACGTGTAGATGCTATTGAGTAAAGAGCACGCTGCTACTTATTATAGTACCGAAAGCGAGACCGTCTACTGCTACCTTACGGAAGAACAATTGAAGACCATCTATAAGCGTTTTGGCCACCCTTTAGCAGGTCGATTTGCTGCTGTTCTTAAGAAGGCCGAGCACGAATTTAAGCGAGATTTGCTTTACAACATTTAAAAGTTTTGCTACTATTGCTAAGTATTCGGACGCTCTCCGGAGAGGTTTAGTATTAAACTTAAAGACGATACTGACTTCAATGATACGGTATACGTAGACGTAATGCACTTTAACGGCAAGAACGTATTATACGTCGTTTGCGATTCTATTAATTTTCAGGCCGCTACTTTCTTTAAAAGCATGTCCGCACAGCATTTACTTAAAGGATTCAGTCGATGTTAGGTTAATACTTACGTCGGACTTTTTACAAACGTAATACACGATCCCGGAACCAACTTCAATTCGGCAACGTTCCGAAGCTACCTTAAAGGTATTAGCAGCACCTTAAGGCAGATGCTTATAGAAGCCCATCATAGCGTCGGGCTAGTAGAACGCTACTACGTCCTTGTGCGACGCGCCTTTGAGATCGTCACAAAAGAGCTTCTAAAAGCCCTAAGGGAGGACCGGCTTCAAATGGCTATCAAAGCCATCAACGACACAGCTGGACCTAATGGCCTAGTTCTTATACTCTTCGTTTTTAAGACCTTACCGAAGCTGACGGAGCAAGATCGACCTGCCGCGTCTACTTAAAAGCGTGCTGCTGCTATCAACAAGGCTATGAAAGAAGTACGAAAATGCCACGCTGCGAAGCAGGTTAAAGACGCGCTCAAAAGGAGGAATGGCCCAATTACGGAGCATACCCTAGACCTCCTTATTAGCTCACGGGTGCTAGTGTGGCGGGAAAACCAAGGGTAAAAGGGCCCCTTTCAGCTGCTTGACAGGCAAAGGCACACGTGCATAGTGGCTTGTCCGAGGCTTACGGAATTCAGGTCAACTTTAGTAAAACCTTACTACTCTGAAGTTGAAAAGCTGCCAGAAGAGTTGCAGGTACCTGAAGTAAAAGTGGAAGAAGAAGTGGAAGAAAAGGTAGAAGATGATTAGAGCGAAAGCGAAAAAGAGCTAGAAATACGAAATTCGCTTAAACCTCAACATTCGCTTAATCCACCGAAGTCGCCTAATCCAAGAAGCTCGCCAAGACCAACAAACAGCCCCCTTAACCCTCAACTTGCTAATCCCTAGAAGTCAACAATACTAATGGTCCAGATACCTTATCAAAAGTACGATCTTAATATCCCGACCGTGCCCGACGAAAAAAAGAGCGATTCTTACGTTCTATTCACTAAGGACTCCGAGGTGTTGATTACCGATAAAAAACGCCGGGACCATAAGCTCTTAGCTAAGCTACGAGCCGAAAGAATTATTAAAAGCCTCGGGGCACCATTTCAAGAGTCTAGAGCAAAGGAATTAGCTAGATTAATAGCTTAAGGCATCTTTTAAATGATCTCGGGCACCGACCTACGCGCTAAAAGCGCCAAGATCTTCGGATCTAAGTTTATTAATAAGATTAAAAGCAAAGGAACACTTACGCTATACGAGAAGTCTCGTATAGTGGTCTAAGCCTTTTAGGACAAGAGCAAAACGAAGGTACTCACCGAGTCACTTACGGTGTAGCGAGCGGGCTAAAGACTTTATTATGCTCTAGCTCCTTCTTTAATAAAGGACTACGAGTGTCAAGTCTATAGCAAGGATATCACTTAAGCTTATACTTAGTTAAGTACGAAGCTTATTCGAATAATCGTCGTGCGACTACTTAAAGAGATTACTTATCGATTCCCTTTCGGCACTTTGTTCTTTATAACTGGCCTTTTGTATAAGATCCTCGAAGCAAGAACGCATTAGTATAAGCGTTTTTCAAAGCATTTTACGGATAACTTCGAGATGAAACAATCGAGCTTTAATTCTTGCCTCTTTATGTCAACTAATAAAGATCAGCTAAAAATAGCTGCTTTATAAACGGATGATGTTCTTATGGTTGTCAATCTAGCTATAAAAGCAAAGGAAGAGAAAGAGCTGGTCAAATCCAAGCTAAAGAGCAAGGAAATAAAGACCTTTACACACGCCGAGCCAATGATTTTCAATAAATATAAGCTATCCTTGGATAAAGACGGGTTCGGACTGTCAGTTGGGCAAAAAGGGCAAGGGGAGAGGCTTGCGGTAATCAAGCTCGATTCAGCCATACGGGCTAAAGAGTACTTGGAGCAACGTGCCCGAAGGGCGTATTTAGCTACTATTTGCTACCCAGAGGCATCTTGTGCTCTATCGATAGCCGCTTAGCACTAGGAACCAAGGGACGAAGACTACAAAGCCCTTAATAAAGTGATCTAGTGGCTGATCGATCACCCAACTCGAGGGATCCATTACGTGCCTTTAGACCTGAAGATTGCGAAGCTCTTTGTGTTCGTAGACGGAGCGTTTGCTAACAACGCTGACTTTAGCTCTTAGATCGGTTTCGTAGCTATCCTTAGCAATAAGGCTCACGTAAGTAAGAACGAGTTCACTTTGACGAGTAACATTTTACATTAGGTGTTACAGAAGTGTAAGAGGGTGACAAAAGCAGTATTAGCCTTTGAGCTATACGCGATGTCCTTAAGTATCGATATAGCTATTGCTATATCGACTACCTTTGCTTAAATCACGGCTCAGTTAAAAATCCTTAACTTCTCCGTAGTCGTGTACATTGACTCTTACTCGCTTTACGAGTGCATAGTAAAACTAGAGACCATTAAAGAGAAGCGTTTAATGATCGATATTATGGCTATTCGGGAGTCATACGAAAGGCGAGAGCTCTTTAAGGTACGCTGGATCGGAGGCAAATCTAACCCTGCTAACGCCATAACTAAAATCGAGGCCAATATCTCTTTGCAAGAGCTAGTTTTGACTAATACCTTGAAGGTGCAAGTCGATGGATAGGTAGAAAGGCCGCTGTAAAAAGAAGAGGGAGATTGTTTTTCCTTTGTTTAATTACTTTCCTTCCTTTTTCGGTCGATATAGTAGTTGGCAAAGCACTATTTGCCAAAGAGAGAGTTGCCGGTGTCGGTATATCCATATCGACCTTAGCTAGTAGTAGTAGTAGTAGTAGTAGTTGGGGAAGCTTACCCGTGAACCATGGTTCACGGGCCACTTGGCATGCCTCGCTTAGCATGTCAGCAGTCAGGGGACCCCCAACTTGACAAGTAAATCTATTAGCTAGCTAGTGCACGTGATTCCTTCTAATCGTATAAAAGGAATCAGCTCCCTTGAGCCTTGGGGAGCAGACAGAATTCAGATACTTTATCAACCGAGTGTTTTGCAATTGCAAGTACTTTGACGACCGTTACGACCTTACGAATATATATTCCCAATCGCTTGGAAGCAATCCAACAGTCAGGGTTGGGTTAGGTTTAAGGTTAAGGGTTAGGGTAGGGAAAAGGTTTGAACTTCTCACTTTCCTAGAGCCCCTTAACCTTTTTTGTTCCTATCTTGTATTCTTGTCTCGATAGATCGTATTGGAATTTATTAAAATATAATATGGCCGGCGTCTATTAGTTAGCGAAGGCGTTATCATTACCTTCGCTACTCGTCACCGACGTCACCGCACCAACGCTTTTCAGCGCCACGGGCGTCGAGCCGCTTGTTACTTAAGTAGTATACAAACGCGCCTCGCTTTTAACAAGAATAGACAGCTCTCGTACTTCTTTTCAAAGGTCTAAACTGAAGTTCAATAATAAAAGAAATCGTTAAGAATACGGCGTTTCGAATATTATATTCCTTCTTTCGGCTCATACGCATTTAATAGCGTTAAATTATGGAGATTGAAAGAGTCGTATAAACTTCTCCCTCGCTTTAGCGAGGTTACGATGTTATCCAAATCATCGAAATCCTTAATAGACATTTTTCGCAAGATGTCTTTTAACGGACCAATACGTATATATTCTTATATTGGATTATACTCGGAAGGGAGTATTAGCTTAAAGATAAGCCGCTCGATCACCTTAAAGGTCTCGCTAAACTATTCATTCAGCATCTTTTAAAGATAACTTCGTTTTAAAAGATTCAAATACAATTTGCGTTCGCACGCTTTCGCTTCTTTAAGTCGCGTGCAAATTATATTATATCTTACTCGCTCGGCCTTAACGAAAGCTCTCTTGGTTGCAAGAGGGTGAGCACTGGAGAAGGGAATATACATATGACGATTGAGTGCTTTCTCGTAGATTCTCGTGACCAATCGATCTTTTACGATTAATAGCTCAACGTCCAGAAAGTGAGCTGAATGTTTAGAATATTCCTACGTAATATCTAAGCCTGGTAGCTTCCATTCGCTTAACCAGGTGTTCAGCTCGCTTTCTGTGCCTTTATAGATAAGACAGACTTAGGGTTAGGGTTAGGGTTAGGGTTAGGGAGTAGCTGGAAGGCAGATTGAAATCAAGAAGAGTAGGAGTCCGACAGTCAGTTGCAAAGAATCAAACTGTTTCGCCTGGCTCTTCAAGGACTCGTACGGCGGCTAGGTATTATATACCTAGGCTTCGGCGTAAGCTCGGTATAGGCCGAGTAAGTCATACAATCAATACCCTTGCTTACCCGTAAACCCTAGTCCTCGATCTGAGGGATTTATGCAAGTATATTAATATCGAAGGATTCGAGTTATATTAATCGCGCAAACTTAAACTAGACGCGCGGCCTTCTAAGGTTTCGTATATTTAATACGACGATAAGCGTGCATATATGCGCGCATGCGCGCATATATGCGTGCATAAAGTCTATTAAATACCTCGCTAAGGTAAGCTGTGCACCTAGTTAGCAAAGTGCAAAACTTTAACTTTGACGTTCCGAGTAAACTTTGCGGCGTAGCCGGATACGATAAGCGAAAGTATATACGCGATGCTACTAAGTCTACGGTCTATATATATAACCCGATATCCCTTTCTATTATATACTATAGCAGTATGCAAAAGGCGAGATTCTTAATTGTCGCTTTTTATTCTTTTCATCGAAGGTATTGCGCCGTTTCTATCGTAAGCTCTACTTCTTTTCTTAGGTCAGTTTTCTTTTTGTATTGAGTGATTTTACGGTTCTGCTTAGTAGTGCTAACGGGATCCTTTAAAATAAGTTCTTTTCGAAGGTTTCCGAAGAAGTCTCGCAAATACCCCGAAAAGTATTCGCTTTCTCGTAAGTCCCTTTCTTTTAAGGTAGTTTCCGTAAGCAACGACCACGTGAAGTTTCCAAGGCTGACTAATGTAGTAGGGTAAGCTTAAACCAAGGTCCGGGTTAGGGGTTTGGTTAGGGTCAAGGTTGGGTTAGGTTTAGGGTTAAGGGTTAGGGTGGGGAAAAGGTTTGAACTTCTTACTTTCCTAAAGCCCTTTAACTTTTTTTGTTCTTATCTTGTATTCTTGTCTCGATAGATCGTATTGGAATCTATTAAAATATAATATGGCCGGCGTCTATTAGTTAGCGAGGGCGTTATCACTACCTTCGCTACTCGTCATCGACTTAGGGTTAGGGTTAGGGTTAGGGTTAGGGTTAGGGTTAGGGTTAGGGTTAGGGTTAGGGTTAGGG